ATTCTATCCCCTTTGCCTGTTTAATGTATTTAGCAATCATTCCGTGTAGCCCTTTTATTATAACACCCCACATCCCACACCTCCACCTCCTCCGGGCAGCACCCTTAATTCTTAATGTTATCAGTAAATGCCAAGCAACACCTCACTACGTCAGCGGATCTGACGTATGCACATGTGCATAGGTCAGTGACCTTGCATAACGTGACGTAATATCCCTATGTATAAAACCTGACTGACATGGTCACTCAGGGAGACCAAGCAGGGAGACCAGTCAGAGACGAGGCGACGAGACCGGCCCAGATCATCAACAGAAGCGGACGGATTGTGCGGCTAGTCGGGGCGTCGGCCAATGCCGTCGCCTCACCAACGACTAGGTCGACGATGAAGAATCGCCGTCCGACTTCTGAATGCTCGTAATTGACAGAGCGGGTCTCCACACCGGGAACATTGGCCACTCGGTCCCGATCTGCGTTCTGTCACGTGATTTCAATCGTATGTACCATTTCTACCATCATTCCCCAACCATAATAAATATGGCTGCTGCTCTCGTCAACTCTGCTACCGCTCACTTTTGCCCTCCTTCTCTTGTCCACCATCCTGAACTACCATCCGAGAGTAACCCTACCGAACGCTCTTTGACAGTTTTAATAGAGACAGCTGGTCTATACGTCGTCTTTACACTGCTGCTAGAATATAAATATCAGCTGTAATGTACATCGTCTTTACACTGCTGCTAGAATATAAATGGTAGCTGGTCTATACGTCGCCTTTACACTTGTGCTGGAATATAAATGGCAGCTTGACTGTACATCGTCTCTATGCTGCTGCAAGAGCATAAATGACAGCGGGTCTATACGTCGTCTTTTCACTGCTGCTAGAATATAAATGGCAGCTGTAATGTACATCGTCTTTACACTGCTGCTAGAATATAAATGGTAGCTGGTCTATACGTCATCTTTACATTTGTGCTGGAATATAAATGGCAGCTGGACTGTACATCGTCTCTATGCTGCTGCAAGGCATAAATGCATATAATGTCTTTTCACTGCGGGTCTATACGCTGTAATGTACATCGTTTTACACTGCTGCTAGAATATAAATGGCAGCTGGTCTATACGTACATCGTCTGGAATTAAATGGCAGCTGCTGCTCGTCTCTATGCTGCTGCAAGAGCATAAATGGTCTTTTTCACTGCTGCTAGACTGTATATCGCCTTATAAATGCTGGACTTATATCGCCTTTATGCTAAGTATAAAATGGCAGCTGGACTATACATCGTTGTTATACTGTTGCTGGAATATAAATGGCATATGTACTGTACAGCGTCTTCACACTTGTGCTGGAAGATAAGTAGCAGCTGGCTGCATATCGTCTCTATGCTGCTGCTGAAATATAAATGGCAGCTGCTCTATACATCGTCTCTATGCTGCTGCTGGAATATAAAAGGCAGCTGGTCTATACATCGTCTCTATGCTGCTGCAAGAGCATAAATGACAGCGGGTCTATACATCGTGTTTACACTGCTGCTGGACTATAAATGGCAGCTGGACTATATATCGTTTTAACACTACTGCTGGAATATAAATAGCAGCTGGTCCATACGTCGTCATTACATAGCTGCTAGAATGGAAATGACAGCTGGACGATACGTTGTCTTTATACTGTTTTTGGAATATATATGGCATCTGGATTATTCATCGTCTTTACACTTGAGCTTGAAATATAAATGGCAAATGGACTGTACAAAGTCTTTCCACTGCTGCTCAAATATAAATAGCAGCTGTAATGTTCATCGTCGTTACGCTGATGCTGGAATAATAATGGCAGCTGGTCTATAGACATCGTGTTTAAACTGCAGCTGGTATATAAATTGCAGCAGGTCGATGCTACGTCTTATAGCAGTACATTGCAGCTGGACTCCACGCTTACGTCCAGGTTTGTAACCGTAACGTGTGAAATATTGTTTATTTTGAAAATGATGCTGTTAGTTTTATGGGTTTGTTTGGGGTTTTTTTATTGTTTTTTTTTGTTTGTTTTTGTTTTTGTTGTGTTTTGTTGTTGTTGTTGTTGATATTGGGAGGGGTTGTTCCCAAGATTGTAATATCACACATATAAAAAGCCGTGTCACATACGGCTTAAAGTAATACAGCTACATGATTAATCATTATTTGTATAAATGATTTTCCGCAAAGAATATTTCTTTTTTTGTACATATAAAGTTAGATGTAAAGTTAGATTTGGAAGCATATTTTTAATATTGCATATGTGAATATGTCTCTTCTCAGCAATGATGATGCGATTTAGTATTCTATTTTCATGTGGAGTACCAAACCAAATCATGTTTTTTGATAATATCAATGGATGGGGATAAAATTGTTAGGCCAAATTTGTTTGTTTATCCACAAGGTTTGGATCTCCTGACATTCCCACTACACATGACACACACTCTCATTTATATCATTGCAAAAACAACAAAAACTGTTATTAACTTTTTTCATTTTGACCACTTCCTTTTTTGTATAAATAATACCTTGTAGAAATCTATATTCAAAGTCTATAAGCTTTTTATCTTGTAATCCCTTTCAATATACTGTCAATATATTTTTCCAATTAAAGTCAGTTTCAGGAAATAAAAGCTGCCATTTATTACAAATGTTTGGATATTTATCATTGCAAAAAAGTTATCATAAAAAAATGCTCCAGCCTTTTCATGCTTTTACTAAATCTATCTACTATTGATTAACATTTAAATTCCTGACTTGGATAGAGTGACAGTGCTTTAAAGTATGTTTCCACGATTCAGGTAATATGTTCAGTAAATATGTACATATAGGAAAGTACCTTTGATATGATAATTTTCTTTAAAGATTCTATTGATAGTAATCCATTTTCATCACATTTTCCCCTGATATTTACAATCCCTTTCTCTGCCCAATTCTTTATGAAATGTGTAGAGGTTTAAAAGTTGTCATTGAACCATAGTGGTTGGGATAAAATGTTGTTACTGTTATTTGTGTCAACATAATGTTGTTTGTGAAATAGTTTCCAAAGCATGCTTTCAGCACATCATCCCAAAAACGTTTTCAATCTCAATAAAAGTTTCAGAATTTGAAAGGTATCTTGCAAGGATTGTTTTCACATTTTTAAAAAATAAAGTCTTAAGGTGGATAATTTCAAACCGTCAATAAATCTATTTATATCAGTCATTCTCAATCCTCCTTCTTCATATCTATTTTTTATAACACTCTTCTTTATTTTATCATTTTTATCATTCCAAATGAATTTTAAAAAATAGTTTTTCAAGCAAAGTAATAAATTCTACTGTTGGGTTGGGCAAAGAGTTGAAATATTAACTAGTTTCGAAATTGCTAGGGGTTTTATTACTTTATTTTACCGATAAATGTTAAATGTTTTTTTCTCCAAGATGCTAAGAGTATAATAACTTCTTCCAGTCTCTTTCTGGTGTTGATAATTGTTCATGATCTGGTGTAAATTTAATACCTAGTGCATCAGATTCACCAGTTACCCATTCAATTTTTAGATCATTACATATTTTATCAGTAGATTTAGCTTTGGATCCAATCCAATTTGCTTTTGATTTATCTAAATTGATTTTCAAACCTGACATTTTATAAAATGCATTAGTTGTGTCAATAGCAAGATACAAATTCTCCTCGGTTCCATCAAGAAATAGTTCAGTATCATCAGCGATTGATGCAGTTTATATTCATTATCATTGATGACAATACCTTTAATGTTTTCATTGTTTCTGATCATACACCATAGAATCTCAGCTACAAAAAAGAAAAATGTAAGGCGAAAGTGGGTCTCCCTGTCTATACCCTCGTTCGTTACCAAAAACGTCAGAGAGATTACCATGTTGGATGAGATAAAATGTTGTTTCAAAAGTCAATATATTTATCCATCTTATTATTTCAGGAACAAATTCAAATTTATGTAATAAGAATTAGCTAACCAGGAGTGTTTTGTTTCTTTGTTTCGAACATTATTTCATACAGCTATCTTGTATTTTCGCTGATAGCCCTACCTGGTATAAAAACAGTTTGATTCCATTGAATACGTTCAGCTAAATTAGCTTTTAATCTATGTGCAATGCAGGAACCGATAATTTCATAAGCAGCATTGAGTAGAATGATAGGCATCCATTTTTTAAGTAACGTTCTATCTTTGTAGGATTTTGGAATACAGGTTATGACACCCCTTTTCATATTTGAAGACATTAATTTATTAGTTGATACTTTTTTAACGAATCTATCAATCCTCACTTTTAATTCTTTCCAATTTTGTTTTAAAGAAATCAATTCCTGATGGTGTTAGTTTGCTGAAACGCAAGTAATGTGACTGTGGAATCTTTGTCTCTCGGACATTCAATGTACAATATGATTGCCTCATTTCTGTGACTTATACAGTCAATGTACAATATGATTGCCTCATTTCTGTGACTTATACAGTCAATGTACAATATGATTGCCTCATTTCTGTGACTTATACAGTCAATGTACAATATGATTGCCTCATTTCTGTGACTTGGACTGTCAATGTACAATATGATTGCCTCATTTCTGTGACTTGGACTGTCAATGTATAATGTGATTGGTTCATTTCTGTGACTTATACAGTGATTGCCCCTCATACAGTCAATGTATAATGTGATTGGTTCATTTCTGTGACTTGGACAGTCAATGTATAATGTGATTGGTTCATTTTTGCGTCTTGGACATTTAATATAGTAAGCGATTTCCTCAGATATTCAATGTAAAATACGATTTCTTTATGCTTGTGACCCAGGGCGTTCAATGTATACTGTGATTTCTTCATATTTGTGTCTTGGACACTTAATATATATAGCGGTTTCTTCATGCCAGTGCCTTGGACAGTCATTGTATAATGTGTTTTCTTCATGTTTATAAATGAATGATCAATGAAGTGTTGTAAAAGATGTATAGAAAAAACACCAGACCTCTTCTGACATTGTTGTTTTATTGTAGCAACACTGAGCATATCACCAACACTGGAGATGTCTTGTTTCTCACACACATGGCAAATGTGCACAAATAAAGTAGGATCATTTAGTCGTCCCTTTTGGAAATGAAGTACAACAACCCGAGTTGATGGTTATCGGCAGAGTTATCCCGCTCGTGTCATGCCGCCATGGAGTTCACAACACTGAAGAAGTTTGAGTCTGGAGTAAAGGAACAGCATCCTTCCTGGGTGAAGATCACGGTTATCCAGCTCTGGCCTGCCTGTATGACGGTGTTTACATTATCAAGCAACGTGTTGTGAGCTTAGCTGCCTCTTAAAATCAGGAAGTGTGACAGCCTTTTGAAGAACGATTTGAAGACGCGTCAAGTTGATTGTCGTACAAGGGCGATTTATCGAATATCGAGAATCACAGCACTCTATCAGCGGGTAGTTTCTTACACTCTGCCACTTGCTCCACAATTTGTATGTCGGCACGGGGCTGTAACAGAAACAATACAAACAATATAATAGTTTTTCATGTATACGGTGAATGAAAGGATAGTAAAATTGTTATGTGGCAGTGATATATATTGTGCAGCAAGTGTAGCACATTGTACATGTAGTATGTGGCAATGATATATATTGTGCAGCAAGTGTAACAGATTGTACATGTAGTATGTAGCAATGATATATATTGTGCAGCAACTGTAACACATTGTACATGTAGTATGTGGCAATGATATATATTGTGCAGCAAGTGTAACAGATTGTACATGTATTATGTGGCAATGATATATATTGTGCAGCAAGTGTAACAGATTGTACATGTATTATGTGGCAATGAAGTATGTGGCAATGATATATATTGTGCAGCAACTGTAACACATTGTACATGTAGTATGTGGCAGTGATATATATTGTGCAGCAACTGTAACACATTGTACATGTAGTATGTGGCAGTGATATATATTGTGCAGTAACTGTAACACATTGTACATGTAGTATGTGGCAGTGATATATATTGTGCAGCAAGTGTAACACATTGTACATGTAGTATGTGGCAGTGATATATATTGTGCAGCAAGTGTAACACATTGTACATGTAGTATGTGGCAGTGATATATATTGTGCAGTAACTGTAACACATTGTACATGTAGTATGTGGCAGTGATATATATTGTGCAGTAACTGTAACACATTGTACATGTAGTATGTGGCAGTGATATATATTGTGCAGCAAGTGTAACACATTGTACATGTAGTATGTGGCAGTGATATATATTGTGCAGTAACTGTAACACATTGTACATGTATATGTGGTAGTATGTGGCAGTGATATATGATATATATTAAGTGTGCAGCAAGTGTAACACATGGTTGTACATGTAGTATGTGGCAGTGATATATATTGTGCAGCAAGTGTAACACATTGTACATGTAGTATGTGGCAGTGATATATATTGTGCAGTAACTGTAACACATTGTACATGTAGTATGTGGCAGTGATATATATTGTGCAGTAACTGTAACACATTGTACATGTAGTATGTGGCAGTGATATATATTGTGCAGCAAGTGTAACACATTGTACATGTAGTATGTGGCAGTGATATATATTGTGCAGCAAGTGTAACACATTGTACATGTAGTATGTGGCAGTGATATATATTGTGCAGCAAGTGTAACACATTGTACATGTAGTATGTGACAATGATATATATTGTGCAGCAAGTGTAACACATTGTACATGAAGTATGTGGCAGTGATATATATTGTGCAGCAAGTGTAACACATTGTACATGTAGTATGTGGCAGTGATATATATTGTGCAACAAGTGTAACACATTGTACATGTATTATGTGACAATGATATATATTGTGCAGCAAGTGTAACACATTGTACATGAAGTATGTGGCAGTGATATATATTGTGCAGTAACTGTAACACATTGTACATGTAGTATGTGGCAATGATATATATTGTGCAGCAAGTGTAACACATTGTACATGTAGTATGTGGCAATGATATATATTGTGCAGCAAGTGTAACAGATTGTACATGTAGTATGTGGCAGTGATATATATTGTGCAGCAAGTGTAACAGATTGTACACATAGTATGTGGAAGCGATATATATTGTGCAGCAAGAGTAACATATCATACATGTGGTTTGTGGCTGTGATATATATTGTGCAGCAAGTGTAACACATTGTACATGTAGTATGTGGCTGTGATATATATTGTGCAGCAAGTGTAACACATTGTACATGTACTATGTAGCAATGATATATATTGTGCAGCAAGTGTAACACATTGTACATGTAGCATGGGGCAGTGATATATATTGTGCAGCAAGTGTAACACATCGTAAATGTAGTATGTGGCAGTGATATATATTGTGCAGCAAGTGTAACAAATTGTACATGTAGCATGTGGCAGTTCACGTCGCTATATGTTTAGTTATCACCTACCTCTATATCTACAGTTGTGTATATGCGTTCATGTCGCTGTATGTTTAGTTATCACCTAACTCTATATCAGTTGTGTGCTAACTCTATATCCTATATCTAAAGTTGTGTGCAGTTGTGTATGTGCGTTCACGTCGCTATATGTTTAGTTATCACCTACCTCTATATCTACAGTTGTGTATGTGCGTTCACGTCGCTATATGTTTAGTTATCACCTACCTCTATATCTACAGTTGTGTATATGCGTTCACGTCGCTATATGTTTAGTTATCACCTACCTCTATATCTACAGTTGTGTATATGCGTTCACGTCGCTATATGTTTAGTTATCACCATCCTCTATATCTTCAGTTGTGTATGTGCGTTCACGTCGCCATATGTTTAGTAATAACCTACCTCTATATCCACAGTTGTGTATATGCGTTCACGTCGCTATATGTTAAGTTATCACCTTCCTCTATATCTAAAGTTGTGTGCGTTCACGTCGCTATATGTTAAGTTATCACCTACCTCTATATCTACAGTTGTGTATGTGCGTTCACGTCGCCATATGTTTAGTTATCACCTTCCTCTCTATATACAGTTGTGTATGTGAATTTACGTCGCTATATGTTTAGTTATCACCTACCTCTATATCTTCAGTTGTACATGTGCGTTCACGTCGCTATATGTTTAGTAATAACCTACCTCTATATCTTCAGTTGTGTATGTGCGTTCGCGTCGCTATATGTTTAGTTATCACCTACCTCTATATCTACAGTTGTGTATGTGCGTTCGCGTCGCTATATGTTTAGTTATCACCTACCTCTATATCTACAGTTGTGTATGTGCTTTTACGTCGCTATATGTTAAGTTATCACCTACCTCTGTATCTAAAGTTGTGTATGTGCGTTCACGTCGCTATATGTTTAGTAATAACCTACTTCTATATCTACCGTTGTGTATATGCGTTCGCGTTGCTATATGTTTAGTAATAACTTACCTCTATATCTAAACTTGTGTGCGTTCACGTCGCTATATGTTTAGTAATAACCTACCTCTATATCTACTGCTGTGTAGCTGAACTTCTGCTTCAGTGTTGTCGGCAAACACGGGAAGAGGATGTTGACCACTGGACATATGAGCTTTGGGTCCGTTTTGACCGGCTTGCCGTATCCTGTGTCGAGAGAAGAAGAAGAATACATCACAGACTCATTGATACCGGCCACATCTTCACGTTGCAAAATGTTAATGAAGTCAGGCACTTCTCACAGAGACTGACCTATAAGAACATAAGATCAACAATGCACAACTAAACAGCCGAGTATACCCGTTATCAGACTGACGACGATCCCAACAGCTACGTTGACGAAGGCTCCTGTTGCCGTGTAGTTGAGATATGAGAGGTGGTAGATGCCGAGGTAGTCACCTCTGAAAGAAAACAACGCGATTTAATAGATTTAAAATTAAATACTGAAATAGATATTCCACAATGTTTAGACATAATATAGATGGACTACGTGTATACAGCTACACTCTTGATGGCAGTACATGGTACGGACAGGAATAGTGGATATACTACACTTACGCTTCTCTTCCTTCTGTGAAGTTTGTAGATGAGGCAGCTGATGTCGGAGTAGTGGTGTTAGTGGCGTTCCAGTTGCAGCCACGTACAGAAAAGTGAGACATTGGTGTTTTTACGTCATACAGGTAGGCTCCAAAACCAACCCATGACAGAAAGAAGAGTCCGCTCATGTATCCTGCCATTGCACCCTGAAACCCAGGATGATGTTTACGTCCAGAGTCTCTCGGGGAAAGTGCTGTTATTATCCAGTTACACTGTGTTGTATATGTGAAGTAATCTTTACCCTGGGGTTATTTCAAACAATGGTGTTTTGCAATGGGGTATTCTTATTAGAGGATGCTATTTGGTCCGGAAGTTCAAAGTAGAAGGTGTTTTTATCCAGACTGTTACTTCCTGGGAATGAAATTGTATTTGCATCTACTTCAACAGTATATCATTGATACGCAAGACGCAAAATATGTTCCACATTAGGCTACTCAGGATAACTGATTGAAGTATTCTAAGCTACGTAAGTCATAGCCATGCCATGTTTGTGAGGTGACAATACAATGTAATACTCTTAATAGTAATGCATAAACAGTCTTATTATATTGACTACAGCGCGTTGCCACTACTCCTATGGTTAGATATTGTAAACTCTTCAAACAAAAATAGAAACGCACAGGCCAAAATACGGAAACGTATTAATCGCATTTAAGTGTACATCAGCTTGAACATAGATGAAGGAAATTCGACGAACGGATGAACATATGTATTGTTGTCATTGTCAGCATTAATTCAGTTCACTCATTGAACATGTGTGGACACAAGGGGGGCGGTCAGGTCAGTACCTGGTGACACCACCCCTTGCTCGACACCTTCTTGGAAGGGATTGCACAAGTCGTCGGATTTTTGCTTGGGGAATTCTTCGCCATTCCTTCTGCAACTCGTTGGCAAGTTCTGCAAGAGTCTGAAGAGTGAGTGAGTGAGTATGGTTTTACGCCGCTTTCAGCAATATTGTACCCATGTGGGGAATCGAACCTGGGTCTTCGGCGTGACGAGCAAACGCTTTAACCACTAGGTTACCCCACCTCCCAGAGTCTGAGAACGATGGTGATATTTACGGACGCGTCGATTAAGTTCGTCCAATAGATGCTCGATCGGGTTCAGATCAGGCGATTTGGAACCAGGGACGGACATCGACGTATTGGCAAACACGAGTTGTGTTGGGTCGAGCGTTGTCGTGTTGAAACAGCTCCATCTGGCGGTCAAAAAGTGGGAGGAGATGAGATCGCACGATTTGGTCGATGTAGCGATTTGCTGTAAGATTGCCATGAACCACCACTTGTCCCGATCTACCTGTGTAGGAATGGCTCCCCCAACACACTCCCTCCACCAAATAAAATGAAAATGGATTTGGTTTGGCCCTATGTAGTCGATGTCCCTACTCATGTGTCAGAAACATTGCACGTGCATTACGTGGAAAACTTGTTCTCCACGCACTTTTCATGTATCGTTTTCATTTTCCTACGACAAACGTTTACAAACACACGCAATACACAACAACCACGACCTATTAACGGGATTTACTGTCAAAACATAGAACTGCTGAAGACATCTGTGCGTTTCCTTTTTAAATAGTGTATTATATAGTACACGTTATATAGTTCCAGGGCTATGGTAAATGTCGGCTCACTGCTATACTAACTACATAAAACTCACCCATTTATTAGCTCTAGGGAAAAACATTCCCAGGATAAATATTCCAAACAGTGGCCCGTCCAAAGTGCTGAGGATGGCATAGGAAATCTGTAACAATGCATTTATCGGTATTTGGAGCAAAACAGTAAAGACGTCGTCACTTATATCCTCGTCTGTTTAGGGACATTTTAACATTTTAATTCAGAATATTATGTTAGTAAAGTTATAATTATGATTGAAATACAGTTTTACCTGAAGTACATTTCCCAATGTGGACGCAACAAATGCTAGTCCGATGCAGAGGAAGCCAAAAGATGCAGCTGAAACACAGATACAGATTGCTATGACACATCCAAACACACATACAGATTGCTATGACACATCCAAACACACATACAGATTGCTATGACACATCCAAAAGCACATACAGATTGCTATGACACATCCAAACACACATACAGATTGCTATGACACATCCAAACACACATACAGATTGCTATGACACATCCAAACACACATACAGATTGCTATGACACATCCAAACACACATACAGATTGCTATGACACATCCAAACACACATACAGATTGCTATGACACATCCAAACACACATACAGATTGCTATGACACATCCAAACAGAGATACAGATTGCTATGACACATTCAAACACACATACAGATTGCTATGAGACATCCAAACACAGATACAGATTGCTATGAGACATCCAAACACACATACAGATTGCTATGAGACATCCAAACACACATACAGATTGTTATGACACATACAGACACACATACAGATTGCTATGACACATTCAAACACAGATACAGATTGCTATGACACATTCAAAGATAGCAAGGTCAATATACCGACAAAATAAGAAACTTCACACTTGAGGCATGAATTATATAAAAAAAGGGTAGTGCAAGGTAGTTTAATTGGGCGTATTACATAATGGACAAGTCTCAGCTGACGCTTCTCACTGTGGTTGAAACACAGATGATGGACTATCAACACCAATGTAACGCAAGCCCACACACAAACTAGTACATCAACTCTTGCCACTACCCCCCCACACAAACTAGTACATCAACTCTTGCCACTATCCCCACACACAGACTAGTACATCAACTCCTGCCACTACCCCCACACACAGACAAGTACATCAACTCCTGCCACTACCCCGCGACACAACAAGTCAGCATTGCCACCCTCACCCGACGTGCCAAATTCATTTACCATCCAGATGTCATCACCAGGGAACTTCGCCATCTCAAGGAAAGCTTCACTTCCTTCAGCAGTTACCCTGTCCATCTAGTCTCAAAAACCATCCACAAGACCCTCAAGATCTACAGCTCCGACCTAGGACCCAAAGTTGCCCCATCACCAATCAGAATCACTCTACCATACTAAGGCCCTGTCAGCCATCTGATTTCTAACCTCATCAAGAACAAAGCCAACATAGATGTCAACATTTCAAGCAACTGTGGCCACCAATACTTTGGAGAAACTCTCAGACCCCTCAACACTAGACTCAAAGAATATATGTCCTCTGTTAACAAACTAGACTTGAAATCCACCATCTCTGAACACATGCTCAAGAAAAAAGATCATCACATCATGTGGGAAGCCACCGAAACCCTGTCCACCACCAACATCAACTGACGACAAAGGAAACTACAAGAAGCCATTGACGTCAGGAGACACCAAGCAGCCATGCACCGAGACCAGGGAACCTATCTGCCTACTGTCTGGTCTTATTGCTGTCATTATTGTCTGTGCTTATTCTGGCTTCCATCTCTATTACTCTTACCTATCCGGACAGAGATGTTACTACACTGATAAACCCGATTGTCAGATACAGACGGGGAAATACCATAAAATAGCGTGAAAAGTTCTCTTCCCTGCTTGATGTATTTCAAAGATCGCTACTGACTGATATTCCGACAACCCTTGACAAACTAAATGATATATTATACTGATACATTTGCGGAACCTACAGCCCTATTGTATTTAACCGACAAAACCCTTTCCACATTTTGAAGACATGTCTACTGAAAGCAGAGTCGATTGTACCATTGTTACAATATCATGAGTATATATTTTCAATTTCGGGGTGTCGTGTCACAGAATACACAATTCACATGCAATGCGCGTGAAAGTTGGGGATCAGATAGTTTCAATGATGGGTATAAAAGGTTGATCGCTGTCTGTCGATTATTCACTGTATTTGGAATATTGTTGACGAACGCAAAATGCCACGTCTAAGTGAAGCCAACCGTCATATCGCCATTGGTTTGCTTGAAGCTGGCCAGTCTCAACGTGCAGTTGCCCGACGCATGAATGTTCACCAAAGCACCATTTCACGGCTCTGGGAGAGATATCGCCGGCAGAATGCGGTAGCAGATGCCCCTCGTAGTGGGCGACCTCGAGCGACCACTGCGGCGTAGGATCGCTACATCCGGGTACATCACTTGCGTCATCGAACAGCTACGGTGACCAGTATCGCTAGACAAATACCCGGATTGATGAGGCTTTCTGCACAGACCGACAGGAACAGGTTGAGAGAGGCTGGTGTACGTGCCAGAAGACCTTATTTTGGCCGTGGGTTTCGACAACAACATCGTCAACATCGAGTTCAATGGTGCACCAACGTTCAAGCCTGGAACCTACCGAATTGGCGTAGAATCTGGTTCAGTGATGAATCACGATTTCTATTGGAACGACGCGGTGGAAGAATGCGGGTGTACAGACGTCGACGTGAACGTTTTGCCGACGCTTGCGTTCCCCAGGTGGACAGATTCGGCCGGGGAAATGTTATGATGTGGGGAGCGATCACCTTCCGTAGGAGTAGTGATTGGTGATTATGCAGGGCAACCTGACAGCTCAACGGTACTGTGACGAAATCCTACTCCCACACCTCCTTCCAATCATTGATCGCCAGAGGGAGTTGTTTCAACAGGGCAATGCCAGGCCCCACACAGCACGTCACACTAGAGACTTCCTCCAGAACCACAACATCAATGTGCTACCCTGGCCCTCAAGATCACCGGACTTAAACCCGATCGAACGTGTGGGATGCCCTGGACAGACGGATGCGACGCCGTAACCCTCAGCTCCAGACACTTCAGCAACTCGCACAGGCACTACAGGCAGAGTGGGCTGCGATTGGGCAACACGAGATTCTGAGACTTATTCGTTCGATGCCGAGGCGAAGCCGTGCAGTTCTGGATGCCCACGGTGGTCACACGAGGTATTGACTTCAGCGCCACCACACGTCTCCATGTGACACTCAAACTGACTTTCTTCGAGTTGGTGCCAAAGACGGATAAGTCTGCATTCCCAGTGTGCAATTTCGCTATATTTCATTGACTCATAAAGCCTACAAGATGTTTTAAAATAAACATAAAAATACAGTTGAAATTCCTATATCCGTTTCTTTTTTGGGAGAGTATATTTGTTTCAGTAGCATTACAGCTGTACGATGTTGTTTGTAAACAAATCGAGTCTTAGTCACGCAACGCTCAACTCATACAATGCATGGGAACAGCATGCAAACGCATTCGACTATGTTGATCTTACGGGTTTTCCGCGAAGTAAAGTGCGTTTGGGCGATCAGACACCAACGTTTCTGTTCTGGAAACGTTTCAGAAGACACGACCAGAAGAAATCTCCGCCCAAAGCAGAGTCGACCGCACAACTGCGACATCATATACACTTTTATATCTTCAGCAGTATTACAGCTGTACGATGTTTGTAAACAAATCGAGTCTGGACCAGACAATCTAGTGGTTGTCCCCATGCGATACGGTCTGATTTATGAAAATGAAATGAAATAGTGGTGGTACCAGGTGTTCGCGAAAAGGTCAGCGTATCCTGCCCCACCGGTGGCACCCGTCATAAAGTCTAGTCATTTGTTAACCTCAAATAATTCGGGAACGTATGCATTAAGTCAAAATAGGGAATTGCACTGGGCATCATTTTTGTCACTGAGGCATCAAATTTGGAAATTTCTGCCATAAAAATTCTTGAAAGAGTTAATCAGGCAAAGGATGTTGTAACCATGATAATTTCCACTTCCACTTATCCTTTTCCTCCTATCAGCGCCAGTTAACTGTTGGCTCCTATCAGCGCCAGTTAACTGTTGGCTCCTATCAGCGCCAGTTAACTGTTGGCTCCTATCAGCGCCAGTTAACTGTTGGCTTCCCTTGTCTCCACCTTTGTTGTCTTATTACGTTTGCTCCCCAGAATAAAGTAGTTGACATTCATCACATTCTCACTTCAAAGAGCTGAGTTGAACCAAGCAGGATGCAAGCTTCAAAACACATTGCTTGTCACTTTGAAATATAGACAAGTGACCCCATCGTGACCGTGTGCACCAGGCGCACCTGAATGCCCAATGTTGTGGTGCGCGCTAGTCCATAACCCATTTATCAATTTGCAACAAATTAAGTTCTACATTTGATATGTTTTGGACAAATGAAACCACACGTCAAGCTTCGTTGTGTGTAGTGCATATTAAGAGATAGCTAACATAATGCAGCAGGACATCATCATTGAGGACACCCTGTAGCTCATAAGGCAGTACGGCATCACCAACTGGGACACCCTGTAGCTCATAATGCAGTACGGCATCACCAACTGGGACACCATGTAGTTCATAATGCAGTACGGCATCACCAACTGGGACACCCTGTAGTTCATAATGCAGTACGGCATCACCAACTGGGACACCCTGTACTTCATACTACAGTACGGCATCACCAACTGGGACACCCTTTAGTTCATAATGCAGTACGGCATCACCAACTGGGACACCCTGTAGTTCATAATGCAGTACGGCATCACCAACTGGGACACCCTGTAGTTCATAATGCAGTACGGCATCACCAACTGGGACACCCTGAAGTTCATAATGCAGTACGACATCACCAGCTTGGACACCCTGTAGTTCATAATGCAGTACGGCATCACCAACTGGGACACCCTGTAGTTCATAATGCAGTACGGCATCACCAACTGGGACACCCTGTAGTTCATAATGCAGTACGGCATCACCAACTGGGACACCCTGTAGTTCATAATGCAGTACGACATCACCAACTGGGACACGCTGTAGTTCATAATGCAGTACGGCATCACCAACTGGGACATCCTGTAGTTCATAATGCAGTACGACATCACCAACTGGGACACCCTGTAGTTCATAATGCAGTACGACATCACCAACTGGGACACGCTGTAGTTCATAATGCAGTACGGCATCACCAACTGGGACATCCTGTAGTTCATAATGCAGTACGGCATCACCAACTGG